CTCATGGCTGTTAGACGGGAGATGAAGCTATATTCTTCAACAGATTTAACAGCATACAGGCAACTGAACAGACAGATTTCCAAATGCATGCGGCGGGACTTACGCAACTTCAATACAGCTTGTATTGAAGGAGCGATCGAGCGGAACCAAGGCTCCAAAGATCTGTCTGCCAGAAAGAGCCAACTGTCAAAGCTGAGAACCGAGTGTGGCAGCATCGTTTCCGGGGCACCTGAGATTTTGGGTGAGATTGAGAGGTTCTATGGGCAGCTGTACACGTTATCGTTGGAGCCACACGCAAGTGTGAGTAACGATCCAAGAGCGAGTCATATCCGACACTATTCCGAAGATATCTCGGACGTCAGTCTGAGTGAGATTAGAATGGCTCTCCAGCATCTTAAAAACGGCAAGGCCCCAGGCGAGGGTGGAATAACAGCAAAGCTTCTGAAAGCGGGTGGAAAACCGGTACTTGAAGTCCTTCAGAAGATGTTTTATTCCGTCCTCCATGGTGGCATTACACCGGAGGCGAAGAGCAGAATTGCGGTCGTCTTGTTCTTCAAGAAAGGTGATAACGCTCTCTTGAAGAACTACAGACCGATTTCCCATTTGAGACGCGTCTACGTGCTGTTTTCGAGAGTCATTACGAATCGTCTCGCTTGACGACTTCCAGCCTCCCGAACAAGCCGGTTTCCGGAAGGGCTTTAGCACCATAGACCACATACATACCCTTCGGCAAGTTGTACAGAAGTCCGAGGAGTACAATTTGCCACTATGCCTGGCGTATGTGGACTATGAGAAAGCCTTTGATTCCGTCGAAATTTGGGCGGTGCTGCACTCCCTTCAGCGGTGCCAAGTTGACTGTCGGTATATCGAAGTGCTGAAGTGCTTGTACAGTAGGGCTACGATGGCTATCCGAGTACAGAACCAGAGTACGAAACCTATCCAATTGCAGAGAGGTGTAAGACAGTGTGACGTCATATCCCCGAAACTTCACCGCTGCATTGGAAGACGTTTTCAAGCTTCTGGACTGGAAAGGATACGGTATTAACATCAATGGCGAGTACATCACTCACCTTCGATTTGCCGACGATATAGTCCTTATGGCAGAATCTCTGGAGGATCTAAGCACCATGCTCAATGACCTCAATAGTGTCTCCCAACGGATAGGTCTTAAGATAAACATGGACAAAACAAAGATCATGTTCAACATCCATGTCACACTTATGCCGGTAGTTGTTGGGAGCACAAAGCTCGAAGTTGTTGACGAGTATGTTTACCTGGGACAAATAGTCCGACTAGGTAAGTCCAACTTCGACCGAGAGGTCAACTGACGGATTCAACTCGGCTGGGCAGCGTTCGGGAAACTACGACACATCTTTTCGTCAGACATTCCTCAAAACCTTAAAACGAAATTATACAACTAGTGCGTGTTGCCAGTGATGACTTACGGATCTGAGACGTGGTCCTTCACTGCTGGCCGTATGAGGAAGCTCAAGGTCGCTCAGCGAGCTATGGAGGGGGCTATGCTCGGAGTTTCTCTGCGTGATAAACTTAGAAATGACGATATCCGCAGTAGAACCAGAGTGACCGACATAGTCCAACGGATTAGTAAGCTGAAGTGGAAGTGGGCCGGCCATATAGCTCGAAGAACCGACAACCGATGGGGAAGAAAGGTTCTTGAGTGGCAGCCTCGTACCGGTAGGCGAAGTGTAGGGCGACCCCCCACGAGATGGAGTGGCGACCTGGTAAGACATCCAGGAAGTCGATGGATGCAGGTGGCTCAGGACCGTGCTTTGTGGCATTCCTTGGAGGAGGCCTATGTTCAGCAGTGGACTTATGAAAGACTGTAATGATGATGATGATGATTAAACTTGTCTTCACCTTCTCAATTTCATCTCAAGATAAAAAAATAGTATTGTATGATGGCTTGGTATCGCAGAGAAGAGCATAATTGTTGTCTAAGGGGCTGCTGGCTCGAATCCCGTAGGCAACTTATTTGTATCTCCTTGTTCGGAACCTGGAAGGTTGTCATTAGATGTAAAATGCCACCATTATAATGTAGAAAATCCTAGTGTGGAGTTTCTTTAAAAAATAAGTTCACAGACAGATACTCTAACTAACTAGGTGACGTGTTTTTCATCTCGTGGACACAGTAATAACTAATAATGCGTTCAATCGAACATTGAAATGTAACTATGAGGAACAAAAACAGAAGTCAATATTGTACCTACTGCCTACATGCGTCATTAATCTATATAAATCTATGTTTTATTGAAGGTCATACGAAACGTACATATGTACGTTATTTCTTTTATTAATAAAAGCTTAATAAACTTGCAATGTTTTGTATGTTTGTTAGGATCAAATCTTGCAACTAAATTTTAAGACAGTTATCCTCAAGCGATTGAGTTGAAATTTTGCATACATGTTTAGTTTGGATGAAAATGCATGGTTAGCTAAATGACGTCACTTTAAATCGAATATGGTGGACACCCATAGATGGCGGTCTATCTATTTTATATGCACCCCGATAATACGGATATCAAATGAAAGGTTTTGCTAAGAAAAATACAAATAAGATAACTTCCGTGTTCAGCTCTGCGGGAAGGCGGTGTAATACTGCCCTACAAAACGGTAAGACTTAGCGGGGTCGTGACTTAACTAATATCGACCTACACCCTGAGCAAATTCTGGCGGCGGTGAAAAAAAGACAAAATGGCGGAAACAAAATGTCCGCCATATTAATTTTATAGAGTTACAACTTGACAGAGGTTAGGGATAGTTTGGTGGTACTTCAACAATTGTTGTAGGTTACAATGGTCAACTGCTGACGATTAAAATTTTTGCAAGATGGCGGATCTAAGTTAAGGATCAAAAACTTAGTTTTTATTTTATTTTATTTTATTTTATTCTAAATCCAAAATGGCGGATCGCCTAGGATGGCGGACTAGTTATTTTTTATGCATCCCATGATATAGGTATCAAGAGAAAGAGTTTGCTGAGTAGAATACGAATAAAATCACGACCGCGTACGTAATAAATTGATGGGTTTGATTTAGTTTGAAGTTGATTTTCTTTTTTTTTAGAACGTTTAAATGAAAGCTGGTTTTTTAAAAAAAAGATTTTTACTACTAATTTATTTTCTATATTAACATAGATTTCCTAAACTTTTAAGTATTTTACCTTTTGGCTCTTTATCTTTATCATAGAATTCCATTGCCGTTGTCCACATCCACGCTGTCCATTTCATTTGCCTTATTGTCACTCCTGACAGGTGGCTAGACTAGAAAATTTGAAATTCAATAAAAAAGACGTCTCGCACCTTTGACGACTTTCGAGATATCGCTTTTGCAGTAATAATAATAATATGTTCAACTGCTGTATTATGCAAAAATGATCCAAACCACAAACTGGCCAAAATAATGATCTTCAGTCTCTTTTTCAGTTTATTTCTAAGTATGGAATATTCCTGAAAAATAACAAGTAATTCCGACATAACAGCCGGTTTACACCATCCTAACGTCCCCCATACAGTCCTAGCAGACATCACCATCCGCATACCTCCATCGACCAGAACTACAAGACGCGTCGTCAGGCGCAGCACACCCGCAGATCCATCACAAGACGCAATACCGCAAGTAGCAGTAAGCATCAATTCAACTATCATACGGATGGCGCCCTCTCACAACACACCCACATGATCCCTATCGACTTTGGTAACAACATTGATAATGTTGTTAACTAAAAATCCACGCATCATAGCGCTATTGCACTAAGACATGGAGTTGCGTATGCTTGTTGCACTTAAAAGTACTACCAAACACACTCACCCTAATCCGACGGATAGCCGAAGTATCACAACGCTATGCGCTAAGACGCCGCCCACAAACGGTAGGGGTGTGCGATGTTCACGGTCATGTCATATTGCTACAACAAACTCGCTTACCACCGGCACTAAGATGATATGTCTAGGACACATCGGTGAGCGAGTCCAAGTTTACCTCGGTCTCGGACGCTGTGCAGTCTACACGCCACTATCCTAATCCTTTTCAAGTCACATTTGTTTCAATATAATGCTTTTAAATATTTGAGACCTTCCACATATTTACCATACTATTATATGTCTCATACATATGGGACTTCAAGTCATAACTATCATAATACTTATGCCTCATAGATACCTTCTATATTAATGCTTTTGTATCATAGACCTTACTATCATAAGTGCCTAATATAGGACTAGTCATTGTGCAACAATACTAGTAGTTGTCGGTCAGCCGACCACCCCATCTATATGTACAGCCTTGGGTATGTGTCTCCAGCAACGCCCTTCTTATAAGGAAACATGAACACCCTCATTAACTTAGAAATAATAAATAACTTAGTTCAAATGATGATAACAGCGAATTTTCAAAAAATCTATTTTTTTTGCCAGCAAATAAAGAATTGGGCCACAGAAAGAAGGTTCTTATAAGGAAACATTACATGAACACCCTCGTTAACTTAGAAATAATAAATAACTTAGTTCAAATGATGATAACAGCGAATTTTCAAAAAATCTATTTTTTTGCCAGCAAATAAAGAATTGGGCCACAGAAAGAAGGTTCTTATAAGGAAACATTACATGAACACCCTCGTTAACTTAGAAATAACTAAGAAATAATAAATAACTTAGAAGTTGGCTGCAGTTGTCAACGGAGTGCACTAGTCAAGTTATATCAGGTGGACTTTTGCCACCACAGTTTAAATAAAACTTAACAGAGTTATGCTGCTATTTGAAGCTGCTATTCCGTGACATTTTTCATTGATTAAAATTTAATTGAGTGACATTAAATGAAATGTAACGAATAAAAGAAGTCTAAAGAGAGCTAGGTAACAAATAAAAGAAAGATTTTTTTAAAATTTTAGATCAAAAAATATATTTAAATAAATACAGTTCCGATATATACAATTTCTTTTCATTCTTCGTTCTTTTTCATCGATATTTACCATTACGATAAAGGTTAGTAAGAGCGGTAGGAGTAGGAATGAGGTAAACGAGTGTAATAAAAGGGGGTGGCAAAAGTTTTGGTAGTGTAAACAGACGGTGCAGCTGTATACACTGCCGGGGCAACAATGTTATGGACTGGACGTGAACTTATGCCGCGTGTAGTGACAATCGCAGGAGATAAAGCTCGCCTAGTAACTACTGTAGGAGCCGCAACTTTTGTAGTGACAACAGCTGGCTCGTGTCTTACAACCGCATGGAAACCATTAACGTCAGCGGTGTAGTCTACAATACGTGTAGTACCGTCAGCTTCTAGAAAAGAGTACTGGCCCTTTACTGTTCGACCGACGCGAGTCTCCTCCTGATGTTTGTAGTCCCCGGTTGCAGGATCAGCCACGTCGTAACCAAAGCTAGTATAGTCATCGTCTGCTTTCGCGACTAATGCTGCAGGCACCACTGAACTGTGAACTGCGGCCACAAAGGCGAGCACTACGATAAACTGAAAGAGAAAATACCAGTTTTGTTAAATACTATAATTTAAATTTTAGAGTCATCTGTTCAGGGTTCTATTCCCGCCAGCACTAATGAAATAGTTTGTTGCATTTTTAGATGCAACATGCTGACCCGCTGGTTCACTCAACTCACTCATGAAGTTAAAACTACACTTTTTAAGTAATATTGTCAATCATTTTCTACCTGCAATCTCCGGGTCAAATATACGCAGAGGGCATACAATGCTCTTAGAGTACAGTATAACGACAGTTTCAGGGCACTGTTAGGGCTGCCTCACTATTGTAGCGCATCGGAGATGTTAGTAGAAGCACTCACAGCGGATAACATCCCTGATCAAGTGAAACAGGGTTAGGGTTACCATATCTCAGGATTTGTCCTGAGATTTCAGGATTTTTAGACTCATCTCAGGATTGCGGCTGGATTTTGCAAATCTCATAAAATCTCAGGATTTTTAAATGGAAATTAAAGAGGCCTGCTTTTCTCCGGACTTTTAATTTTTTCATCTGGTAACCCTAAACAGGGTAGCACTAAGAGTCTCTTGGAAACTGTTGTAAATTGCTTAGACGGCATTTATGCAGAACACTGGATGGAGACAGTTCTGGCAGTGATAAACCATTATTAACCGTAGTTTCTAAGATTTTATATTTGGTTGCCAACACATGCATTGAATTCTATAATAAATATGTATTATTATTTTTAAGTGCTGATTCAGCTCGTGCTCGGCGGAAAAGGAAAACGTCATAGGAACCTTCACGTCTGAAGAATAAAATATTTCAAGGATGTGTGAAGTCCGCGAACATTCCGCGGCAGACCAAATTCTCCACAAACCTCTAGAAATAAGAAGAGACCTATGCCTAGCAATTGGACGTATTTTGTTAGGCTATGTAGTAATAGTTTTATTACAGACGTTGTGACAATTCAGGAGATGGGCAGCAGCGGCTTCCTAATAACTTTCTAATAATGGTAACGGAAGTTGTGATACTTTCAAGTTAGCATCTTCTAATAATTTTAAGATAATTGAAATTTGAAAAAAGTAAGCGTACCTTAATAGCCATTGCTTCTTTGGATCGTTGATGCAATATGACTATTTTTGGAAAATTCCATGTTTTATATAAATCGCTAAATTGCAATGGGAAGTTGTGATATTTAAACACATACGTGTTAATGACTCTTGTCTAATTGCATCTTGTCCTAATTATTAGACCTGCATAAGGTCAGATGGATTATTAAATTTTTATGCTATTCCTAAATCAAATCTATAATAGCGACATATGCATGAATATATAATGATATAGTTTAAAAAATTGTAAATTGAACTAAATGCAAAACAAGTAATACAATTTGTCTAATTAATTATTTTCATTGGAAACAGAACTCTAAGTTCGTTCCATTAAGTTCAACGTGCAACTTCCAAAATTATTATAGTTTTCGTCATAACACACCATCACAGGATCAATTTCAAATTTAGAGTACCCTGGAGATTTTACACTATATCTACATATAGACCCTGAGGCTAATAGAACTTTGAGGTCCTATCTAATAAAAGTTACAATTTGTTATAATGATTTAAACTTTACATTTCTACGTATTTTTGTACAATAAAAATTAAAAATTAAATATGACTGCAGTCTATTAAAAGTCCATTGCTGAACAAAGGCCTCTCCCGTAGATTGCCGAAGAAAGAAAGAAAGATTGAAGAAGGAATAGATACCACAGTTGCCACCTTCGGCAGGTGTATTGACAACCGAAGTTTTTTTTAATTGTTACTAGAAAGACGCTGCTATCTGCTGATATATTTCCATCTGTCCCTTCTTACGACACCCGCGGGACTATATGAATAACCGACACAGTTAACCATGAATTCGTAAAATATAACTGTCATCGAAAATGACAGGCATTTTTTAACAATTATGAAAATTTTGTAGCTTTATTAAATTTTGTATATTTATAATTATGTGTAGTTTATAGTATGTGTAATAATGGAAGGAATACTTTGAAAGCGTGTTTAAGAGTGAAGAGTCGTCTGGAATAAGTGAAATAGAAATTCCGGAAGGAGTGGAGAGAGGTAGGGAGATAAGTGTAGATGAAATAATGAAAGCAATGAAAAGCATGAAAGCAGGTAAGGCAGCCGGATATGATAGAGTATCACTCGAAATGCTGAGGGCTGGTGAGGGTGTGGTTACGGGCCTGCTGCACACCTTGTTTAATTTATGTTGGGAACTGAAACGGGTACCGGAAGACTGGTGCAAAGCCGTTATAGTCCCAATATATAAGGGAAAGGGGTCGCAGCAGGACTGTAAAAACTACCGAGGTATCAGCTTGCTTAGCATTGTGGGTAAACTGTATGCTAAGGTGTTAATTGAAAGAGTTATGGAAGAAACTGATGGAAAAATTTGGGATGTGCAAGCTGGATTTAGAAAGGGGATGGGGTGTACGGATCAAGTCTTTTCCATGCGCATGATAGCGGAGAAGTTTTTGGCTAAAAACCAGAAAGTTTTTTGTGCGTTCATGGACTTGGAAAAGGCTTATGACAGAGTGGACAGGAATGTGTTATGGCAAACACTGAACTCATTTGGGTTGAGCGCTGGCTTGATACAGGCATTAAGATCTGTTTATAGGGACTCTAGTGCTTGTGTCAGGATCAACGGGGTCTACTCGGACTGGTTTGGCATTCATAAAGGTGTCAGACAGGGATGTGTGGCTTCCCCGTGGTTGTTTAACTTATTTATGGACAGTTGTTTGCAAACTTTGAAAGTTGAAGAATGTGGGTTGAGAATGGGTGAGTCAACCGTCAAATGCCTTTTGTACGCCGATGATCAAGTCATATTTGCATCGTCGGCGGCCGAGTTGCAAATGATGGTTACTTTAATGAATTGGTCATTGAAAGAAAGGGGTATGAAAGTGAACGCAAGTAAGACGAAAGTGATGGTTTTTGAAAGAGAAGAAAGTAAAACTTTATGTGAAATAAGAATAGAAGGGGAGTTGATTGAGCAAGTGGATGAGTTTGTATATTTGGGATGTTTATTTAGCAGGGATGGTAGATATGATAAGGATATAGAACGACGAGTGAACGCAGGAAATAGAGTGAATGGGGCTCTACACGCTATTATGAGGAGTCAGAATGTGTCAACTAAGGCACGTATGGCAATTCATAATGCTGTGTTAGTCCCTACTTTAATGTATGGTAGTGAAAGTTGGGTCTGGCAGAAGAAGCATGAGAGTAGAATAAATGCTGTAGAAATGCGTTCCTTAAGGAGTATGCTAGGGCTGAATCTGAATGACAGGGTGAGAAATAGTGTGATAAGAGAAAAGTGTGGTTTGCAAGATGACGTTGTGACAAGGATTAAGAAAGGAATGCTTCGGTGGTTTGGTCATGTAGAAAGAATGAACGAGGAAAGAGTGACAAAGCAAATTTATGTTGCGGAAGTGAACGGCAGGGTCGAGAAGGGACGCCCTAGACGAAGGTTTATCGACCAAATCGGCGATACATTAAAAATGGGCCAGATTAGGAGTACCCTTAACCGACGAGCGTGTATGCGTAGATATATGGATGTAAAAGAGGCGAGAGAGGTGTGTCAGGATCGCGCCAAATGGAAGTCCGTAGTCTCTGCCTACCCCTCTGGGTGACAGGCGTGAGTGTTTATGTTTATATGTATATTTATAATTACTAATAATACAATTTAACAATTAAGCATATTTTTTAATAGGATACGGGTGAGAAGCGAGCACACAGTCCACCTGATGGTAAGTAGTTGCTGTGGTCTATAGACATCTAACATCTATCCTCGTTTAGGAAATAAGGTGTTGGGTGACAACACCTCTGTATTGCAAAAAGGGTCTCCGGTTCTATACGCATTGCTACATATTTGCATTGCAAAAAACGTCTCCGGTTCTCTACACTCACCATACGAAACACAGCAGAATTAAGCTGTTTTTTTTGCTGGTATTCTGTGAGAGCGTGTTCCTTCGCCGGTCGAGCCGACCCATTTGTGCTACTATTATACGATTAATAGATATAGCTGCGGCATGGGTCTACCACGCTAAAAAATTTACAAATAGTTGTCAAATATTTATTAGATAGGGTTATTGCAACTATTAAACTAAAGAAATGCCATACAAGTCATAATACGTAGTATTCTATAAGAAAAAACCATAAATATTCATAAAAATTTGTTTTAAACAGAAAACCACAGTAAAAGATTTTTTCCATTCTTGCAAAGATTAATGTCCAACAATTATTTTTATACCATATTTTGTTTCTTGCAGTTTCCACGGATACTTATTACGACAACCACGAGACGTAGTTCTCGTGGATCGCGCGCACGCGCTGGTCGTGTCTTTTGACTGCGCTAAATAATTATATTAGCGACAAAGACAAAGCCATACGTTGACAGAGAATAGATATAGTGTGCTGGGATTTAACGAAATCGTAAGCGTACGATTGCTCCGCTTTTGAACCCTTTCTATAACAAATTATTACCGCCCACTATCGAGTGTATCAATTAGCATTGTCGACGGCAAATGTGCATACGCCTATTTAAAAATCACTGGTCACCAGTATGATCGGTGACCATTATATTATAGGTCTCGCAGCTGATTTAGACAAACTGGTAATGAATTCTTTACCATGTACATGTACATACATGTTATAATAACAAAATAATATTTATAATGTTACATGATATAAAATGGTTAGATTTATTAGGTACAGAAGACCCTGTAGAACTTTATCCTAATATTGTAAATATATTTCAAGGCATATACAAAACATGCACTTTTCAACGACAATATAATAATAAACGGGATACGCATACATGGGTAGGTATACAACTGCAGCATGAAATAAATAAAAAGGATTCTCCTTTTAGGAAATGGAAATCCATTCTACATAAAGAATAATAATTATAGACTTAAGTACACTAGGCAGGGAAATTAAACAAATAAACTTATTAATTGTGCAAGGAATAATTACAGAAAGATGTGCCAAAGGTGGCCATGACTATAAAGGGGATATGAAAAAATATGAAGTATTGTAAATTAATGGTTAGGGCGAAATAAATTATTTGTTGATAGTGTCATCCAAAAGTACATGTTAAAAATAAAAAAACAAGTTGAATGTATGTGATGACTTTTGTAATACTTTTATCCGGAAGATAGAGGTCATTAAAAATATGCACATTTATAAGAATTTGTTACTTGAATGGAAATCCTATATATTTGAACGTGATGTTATGTTTAGATTTATAAAAGTACTAATAAAAGTGATTGATAACATGGACTGCATTATGGCGCCGGGATTGCATGGTATTCGAATAAGGGATCTAAAAGAAATTAAGAACAAAATTGCCCCAATCTCAGCATAAAGCTTATTTATCGTGAGGAGTTGAAGTTTCGAGGACGACACTGAAAGTACTTAGAAGATCAAAAACTGAGCAAACTAGCAAATTATTAGTTTTATTATGTCTTTTCAAAATAGTATCCATTTACATCAATAAAAAAAAATCGCTGCATTTGACGATACCACTGAGAAAATCACTTTGCCCACTCGTCCTTAGAGGCCTCTTCGTCGGCATTTTAAAACGCAGCCACTGCCTCCTCGGCGTCCATAAAACTTTTCCACGAAGTTTTCCTTTTATTTTCAGATATAAATAAAAATCGCAAGGTGCGAAGTTGGGCTATAGGGCGGGTGACCCAGTAATTCCACGTCTGACGTCGCCAAGTAGTCGATTGTTCGCTTGGCGGTGTGCGAAAAGGCGTTGTCGTGGTGAAGGAGGATTCTACTGCGCGGTCGTTTCTCCTGAACTTTTTCCAAGACAAGTGGCAAACAATTGTTAGTGTACTACACTGCAGTAACTGTTTTTCGATCCTCTAAAACTCATCCAGACAGCAGACTGTCTCTTAGTTTCAGGACCATAACAATAAATCCAGCTTTCGTCACCCGTAAGTATGTCGAACACAGCATTTGAGTCACCTCCGTTAAATCTTTGAACCATTTCACGACACCAATCAACACGACGGACTTTTTGGGCGTCTGACAATTTATGGGGTATCCACCGGGCACAAAGCTTTCTGACCGCTAAATGTTCGTGGAGAATTTTGTGCACTTGACTCATACCTAAGCTTGTCCGAATCTGCTGATAAGTCACTCTTTTGTCAGTCTCTATCATACGCCGCCCAACACTGATGTTATCTTCAGTCGTCGCCGTAGAAGGCCGTCTCTCACGCAGATCATCGGTGAGGTGGTCACCTCCGTTAAATCTTTGAACCTTTTCACGACACCAATCAACACGACAGAGTTTTTGGGCGTCTGACAAATTATGGGGTATCCACCGGGCACAAAGCGTTCTGACCGCTAAATGTTCGTGGAGTATTTTGTGTAATTGACTCATACCTCAGCTTGTCCGAATCTCCTGATAAGGCACTCTTTTGTCAGTCACACTCATACGCCGCCCAACACTGATGTTATCTTCAGTCGTCGCCGTAGAAGGCCGTCCCTCACGCAGATCATCGGTGAGATTAGTGCGACCACGTTTAAACTAATTTAACCAGTTGTAAACAGTGACACGAGATGGGGCTTCATCGTGAAAGGCCAATCGAAGTCTATCATAACCACAGAACACTAAGATCATAACTTTCTTGGTGACTTAAATGACATCGAATGCCAATATTCAATTTGCTGCCAAATCATAAAAAAATGACAAATTAATAAAATACATACACAATAATATTGGCAAAGAGTTCCATTTTCAAAATTTGAACTTATTTTTTATTATATCGTTTACAAGTGACCAGTTTTAAAAACTTTCAATGTCGCTCTCGTAGCTCTAATTAGGCCAATATATAAACAAGGTCTTCATACGGAATTTACAAATTATAGGCCGATAGCCGATAAATATATTAAATAAATAGTAGAAAAAATAATAGTAGGTCAAATTACAACCTTTCTTGAAAATATTAAAATTATCAACGATGCTCAGCACGGTTTTCACTCAAATAGAATTACGTACAGCTACAGTTCTATTCAATTCTTCATTACGCATTAGTTGATGTAGTAATATGTTACGAGTTGAGCGCGTATAATCTCACTTTTCCTGTTCACCTAAATAATAAAAAAAAAACTTAAACTCAATTAATAAAGATAGAATTAAAAGTCAGTATTATTTGAACAATATAACAATATTGAATACAAACAGGAAATAGAGTATGCGTATCCAATACGACTAGCTAGAACACCTAAGCTGTATGTTACAAATGTCAAAAATGATTATGGAAAATGTCAAAGACGATGAATAACGCCCGTCATTTTTAATCAGATACCTCATGATTTAATACAGCATATAAAAAGTAAAAATAACTTTAAAAATACTCTGAGAAAACATTACTTGTCTCTATGTTCATAGTCGTATGCCGGGTAAGAACTTCAATATCCTTTGTTTAATTTCTTGTTAGATTTTTTTTTTTACTTTTTAGGTAGTGAATAAGTTTTGTTTATTGTATTTTATTTTATTTTTCCATTTTTTGTGTCCTTTATAAAAGTAGTACATAAATATGTGTATCCACGAGAGCTGTTGCCGACAAACTATCTTCACAGTTTGGCAAATTGTGATTGTATGTGTATTATGTACTTAGAACTGAGAGCAAAAAAAAATAACGGGGTGGCGGATTCTCTTAAGAAGAAAAGTCATCACATACATTTGACTTGTTTTTTGTTTTTAACATGTACTTTTCGATGACACTATCCACAGATAACTTATTTCGCCTTACGAAGAATTTATAATACTCCATATTTTTTCATATCCCCTTTATAGTCATGGCCACTTTAGACAAATCTTTCTGTAATTATTCCTTGGACAATTTATAAGTTTATTTGTTTAATTTCCCTGCCTAGTGTACTCAAGTCTATAATTATTATTCTTTGGAATGAATTTCCATTTCCTGAAAAGAGAATCCTTTTTATTTATTTCATGCTGCAGTTGTATATCTACCCATATATGCGTATCCCGTTTATTATTATATTGTCGTTGAAAAGTGCATGTTTTGTATATGCCTTGAAATATATTTACAATGTTAGAATAAAGTTCAACAGGGTCTTCTGGTCATAATAAATCTAACAATTTTATATCATGTAACATTTTAAAGATTATGTTGTTATTACGAGTATAACATACATGTACATGGTAAAGAATTCATTACCAGTTTGTTTAAATCAGCTGCGAGACCTATAATATAATGGTCAGCGATCCTACTGGTGACTGTATATCCTTGTTCTTTATCGTTGCAATATTTGGATGTGATCCGTAGGAGTTACTTTTTTGTTTGATGCATGCTGCATTTTATAATGTTTTTAAATACGCGTATGCACATTTGCTGTCGACAATGCTAATTGATACACTCGATAGTGGGCGGTAATAAGTTGCCATAGAAAGGGTTCAAAAGCGGAGCAATCGTACGCTTACGATTTCGTTAAATACCAGCACACTATATCTATTCTCTGTCAACGTATGGCTTTGTCTTTGTCGCTAATATAATCATTTAGCGCAGTCAAAAGACGCGACCAGCGCGTGCGCGCGATCCACGAGAAATTAGCGTGGTATAGCCATGCCGCAGCTATATTAATCGTATAAATGTAGCACAAATGGGTCGGCTCGACCGGGGAAGAACCACGCTCTCACAGAATACCAGCGTAAAATAGCAGCTTAATTCTGCTGTATTTCGTATGGTAAGTGTAGAGAACCGGAGACCCATTTTGCAATGCAGATGCGTTGTCACCCAAAGTCTTGTCTCGCAAACGAAGATAGATGTCAGGTGGACGCTTGTCACCCTTATCTTATTAAAAAAATATACTTAACTGTCAAATTGTATAATAAATACACAAAATTTAATAAAGCTACAAAACAGTAACCCTGCTAAATATTTGGAAATTAAGCCCTTAAAGTTGTTAAAAAATGCCTGTCATTTTCGATGACAGTTGTATTTTACGAATGAATAAGTCATGATTAACTGTGTCGGTGTAAAATTATGTCATATATTCCCGTTTATCCGCATTATCTCATATAGTCCCGTGGGTGTCGTAAGAAGCGACAGAGGGAAAAAAATCAGAAGATAGCAGCGTCTTTCTAGTAACAACTTTAAAAAAAACTTCGGTTGCCAATACATCTGCCGAAGGTGACAACTATGATAACTATTCTCCCTTCTACCCCATGAGGCAATCTTTGGGAGGGGCCTTTGTTCAGCAATGGACTTTTGATAGACTATAATCATATTTAATTTTTAATTTTTATTGTACAAAAATACGTATAAATGTAAAAAGTTAATCATTATAACAAATTGTGAACTGTAACTTTTATTAGATAGGATCCCAAAGTTCTATTACGCTCAGGGTATGTAGGTATAATGTAAAATATCCATATATAAATTCGAAAATGAGCTTGTGCATAACACACCATGTGTTATGACGAAAACGATAATAATTTTGGAAGTTGCACTTTGAACTTAATACAACGAACTTAGAGTTTTGTTTCCATTGAAAATAAATGAATGAGACAGATTGTATTATTTATTTTGCATTTAGTTCAATTTACAATGTTTTAAACCTTATCATTATATATTCATGCATATGTCGCTATTATAGATTTGATTTAGGAGTAGTATAAAAACTTAATAATCCATCTGACCTTAAACAGGTCTTACCATTAGGACAAGATGCAATTAGATAAGAGCCATTAACACGTATGTGTTTAAATATCACAACTTCCCATTTTAATTTAGCGATTTATATAAAACATGATTTTTTCACAAAAATAGTCATATTGCATCAACTATCCGAAGAAGCAATGGCTGTTAAGGTACGCATACTTTTTTCAAATTTCAATTATCTTAAAATTATGAGAAGAAGCTAATTATAAAGTATCACAACTTCCCTTACCATTACTGTTACAGACTAGTCTACTGCATAACATAGGCCTCCCCCATAGATTGCTTCATAGGGGGGAAATTTGCCATAGTTGCCACGCTTGGCAAGAGAGTCGCAGTGTTTAACATTAAGTCGTTATTAGGAAGCCGCTGCTGCCCATCTCCTGAATTGTCACAACATCTGTAATAAAACTATTACTACATAGCCTAACAAAATACGTCCAATTGCTAGGCATAGGTCTTTTCTTATTTCTAGAGGTTTGTGGAGAATTTGGTCTGCCGCACCAGTGCATGTTCGCTGACTTCACACATCCTTGAAATATTTTATTCTTCTGACGTGAAGGTTCCTATGATGTTTTCCTTTTCCGCCGAGCACGAGCTGAATCAGCACTCAAATATAATAATACATATTTATTTTAGAATTCAATGCATGTGTTGGTAACCAAATATAAAATTTTAGAAATTACGGTTAATAATGGTTTATCACTGCCAGAACTGTCTCCATCCAGTGTTTTGTATAAATGCTGTCGAAGCAATTTACAACAGTTTCCAAGAGACTCTTAGTGCTACCCCGTTTCACTTGACCAGGAATGCTATCCGCTTACGTATAATCGCATAATAACTATCCGTGCGCGCTTCTGCTAACGTCCCCGATGCGCTAAAATATTAAGGCCGCCCTAACAGTGCCCTGAAACTGTCGTTATACTGTACTCTAAGAGCATTGTATGCCCTCTGCATATTGGTTAACCCAGAGATTGCAGGTAGAAAATGATTGACAATATTACTTAAAAAGTGTAAATCTAACTTTACGAGTGAATCGAGTGAATCAGCGGCTCAGCATGTGGCATCTAAAAATGCAACAAACTATTTCATTAGTGCTGACGGGGATAAAACCCTGAACAGATGACTAAAATTAAAATTATAGTATTTAACGAAACTGGTATATTTTCTTTCAGTTTATCGTAGTGCTCGCCTTTGTGGCCGCAGTTCACAGTTCAGTGGTGCCTGCAGCTTTAGTCGCGAAAGCAGACGATGACTATACTAGCTTTAGTTACGACGTGGCTGATCCTGCAACCGGGGACTACAAACATCAGGAGGAGACTCGCGTCGGTCGAACAGTAAAGGGCCAGTACTCTTTTCTAGAAGCTGACGGTACTACACGTATTGTAGACTACACCGCTGACGTCAATGGTTTCCATGCGGTTGTAAGACACGAGCCAGCTGTTGTCACTACGAAGGTTGCGACTCCTACAGTAGTTGCTAGGCGAGCTTTATCCCCTGCGATTGTCACTACACGCGGCATAAGATCACGTCCAGTCCATAAGATTGTTGCCCCGGCAGTGTATACAGCTGCACCGTCTGTTTACACTACCAAAACTTTTGCCACCCCCTTTTATTACACTCGTTTACCTCATTCCTACTCCTACCGCTCTTACTAACCTTTATCTTAATGGTAAATATCGATGAAAAAGAATGAAGAATGAAAAGAAATTGTTTATATCGGAACTGTATTTATTTAAATATGTAAATATATTTTTTGATCTAAAATAAAAAAAAACCTTTCTTTTATTTGTTTCTCTGCTCTCTTTAGACTTCTTTTATTCTTTACATTTCATTTAATGTCACTCCATAAAATTAATACAAAAAATCTCACAGAATAACAGCATACTTCTACAAAATGCTACGTTTTATTTAAATTGTAGTGGCAAAAGTCCATCGGATAGAGTCCATCTGATATAACTTGGCTACTGCACTTCATTGACTACTGCAGCCAACTTCAAACAAGTTAGGCGACAGATGCGTTGTCATCTCTAGCCTCTTTTGTTTGAAGACTAAGATGGAATGCCTTAGACCAAGTGAGTCCAAGCACTGCTATTTGGCTGGAAAAAGGTTAGTTTGTATTTTTATACGTTGTGTGTTTTATACGTGGTAGAGCCATGTTGCAGCTATATTAGTAGTATAGTTGTAACATGAATGGACCGGGGAAGGACCACGCTCTCACAGAATACCAGCGTAAAATGACAGCTCGACACAGCTGTGTTTTGTATGGTGAAAGTAGAGAACCGGAGACCTATTTTACCGGAAAAGAGGCATTCCATCTTAGTACTCACGGGTGACGACGCATCTGTATTTTGATTCTTTATTGAATGATAAATGTAGATATCTATGGGTCATCAGGTAGACTGTGTACCCGTTTGTCACCCTATCCTATAAAAGAAATAGGTAGGTGTTATCTACCCAGACGTACTCCTAGCCAGAAAAATAATCCTACCACAATAACACAGCAAACGTATGACGGGACATTCCTTTGTAGTCTTCCAACACTTCTTATATACTAGAATAGATGTAGGTGTCAATGGGCCACAAAATCCATTTACCTTTGTTCGTTTGTCATCCTTAATCAAATTTAAAAAAATCTTCCTCTCACGACTTCTTTGTGGAATCGTGTACCACCGATTTTCCCGGACCGATACGACTTAAGGACCTTCAAGAAACGAGTTCACTCCTGCCGGCAACGCACATGCAATTCTCCTGGTGTTGCAGTTGTTTATGGGCGTCTATCGACACTTACTATCATGTGAGCCGCATAATCGTTTATCTCCTCTTCTATAAAAAACAAACTTAGAGAGATTCGCATTATTTTTAATTTTTTTCTTCATATAACCACCCTATAACCGTTCGTTCGCATCGGGACAGGGAGCTCTTCTATGCACGGTGAAATCGCTATTCTTGGTAAGCGAAGCAATACCACAGACGGCATTTGTATATTATATAGTACACATAAACCTTATATATGGTACATGGATAAATGGATGAATAAAAAAAAATGAATCCTAAGTGGAATATGTCAAGCAGTAATTTTATAATGTATAGTTTAATAATTATAAATTACCAAAAAGTGTAACACTTGATATTATCTCACTTTTAAAATCATAATGTATGTTATTGCTCTAAAATTTTAATATTCCATAATGGCAGTTATATTCACGTTGTTAACTACGTGGTGGAATGAGGTATTATTTGAAATGTTTACGAAAATAACGTTAAATATTACACTTTGTTTATTGGTACTAGGTTAATTTTTTAATAACTGTAAATTATTTAATACCTAATAAAATTTTAAGCAAACCAGTCGTTTATGAATTATCGAATATAATTATAGGATATGTATATAGAACCTTAAATAATCACTGCAAAGTCACTAATAGTTTCTGGATTCCGTGTGGTTGTTGCATTAATGAAGCCATCACCCTATTTCTGTCGTACGAAGTAACTATGGGGTAAGTCAGAAAGAGACCGTGGCATAAATCAGTGATGGCGATATCCACCCAAATATATATATGTCATATGTTTGTCCGATTAAGAATCAAAATATACTTAGATGCGTTGCTACCCCAGAGGGTTAAGACAGAATGCCTTGTTACCAGTAAAAGTATCACAGGTTCTCTGCTATGTTTCGTTCACTGCTGTGTTGGTATGGGTACATTCATACTGCAACCAAAATAAAGCTGCAGTATGCCTCTACTACTGGCCGGATGAGGAAGCTCAAGGTCGCTCAGCGAGCTATGGAGAGGGCTATGCTCGGAGTTTCTCTGCGTGATAAACTCAGAAATGAGGATATCTGCAGTAGAACTAGAGTGACCGACATAGCCCAACGGATTAGTAAGCTGAAGTGGCAATGGGCCGGCCATATAGCTCGAAGAACCGACAACCGATGGGGAAGAAAGGTTCTCGACTGGCAGCCTCGTACCGGCAGGCGAAGTGTAGGGCGTCCCCCCACTAGATGGAGTGACGACCTGGTAAGATATGCAGGAAGTCGATGGATGCAGGTGGCTCAGGACCGTGCTTTGTGGCATTCTTTGGGGGAGGCCTATGTTCAGCAGTGGACTTGTGAAGGGCTGTAATGATGATGATGCCTCTACTATGTTAAGCCCGGGGTGAGAAAATCAAAAGTACGTACGTGTTTATAATGAGGGCTAATAATTTTCTGCTCGTCGGTGAAGTGTGTTAAAGTGCTAATCAGCGAGGAAAACGTAAAATCTTTAAACTTTGTTGAGAAAAAACAGCTCATATCCACGCCGAAACCAACGCCTGATCTATGTATTTTTCAGTCGAGTAAAACCTACAAACGGCAACTTAATAGATTTATTTACAAAATGCATTGGATTGTTACCTGCTCACATACCAATATGTTGTACTGTTGGTGCTGAGTATTCTTTTCCAATGACAAAATATCTTGGAACACTACTGGATGTGATGATTTAAATAACTTATCTGGAGCCAATAAAAGGCATATGAATGCTCAAAAACATATGAATGCGGTGATTTCGTTTAGTAATTTTGGAAAAAATCGGATTGAAACATCTTTGTCGCGCCAGTTATCCGAGGAAATTACAAAACACAACATGCGTGTTGATCACAACCGTAGTGTTTTTCAAAGATTAGTCGATATTGTTTGTCATTAAGCACAACAAGAACTTCCTTTCAGAGGTGAAGATGAGTCGAAAACTCCATTAAATAGAGGCATTTTTTAGAACTTGTATCGCTTCTTTCGAAGTATGATCTCGTGTTAGAAAAGCATATGCAGCATCAACAAAGCGACAAACGGCCGAGTTATTTATCTTAAATAAATTCGTTTCAATTATTATTGACGAAACTCCCGATGTTAGTCACAGAGAGCAATTGTGTCTAATTCTCAGATATTATTATGGAAACGATATTCATGACGGTTTTTTGGGGTATGTAGATGTGTTTGAAAGTTGCACAGCAGACACACTTTGTAATATCATATTGGAATTACTAAACAAACATGACTGCACCACAAAACTAGTTGCGCAAAGCTATGATGGTACAAGTGTCATGTCCGGTGTCAAAAGTGAAGTGCAACAAAAAGTTAAAGATGTTTGCCCCCAAGTCATATATATTTGGTGTAATGCACACATTTTGGCATTAGTTTTATCTAAATCTTGTAACAGGATTGGGGTAGTTAGCACTTTTTTTCAGCCCAACAAACGGTCGTCTTTTTATGATGTACATTGCAGCAAAAATTGCATTTGGTAATTTTTGATAACGTTTTATACACAAATAATTATCGGGGCTTTAGTTAATTTTATAATATCCCAACATAAATTACCTGCCTCTTCTTCCAGCTCGAAGATATTTTCATCAGTCAGATCGCGTGTGTTAAATGTTGCCAGGTTAATTTGTTTGCCTCAGTAGTCACGCTTTGCAGGGCAATTGTCAACAGAAGTTTTTATTATTAAGCTGTTTTCAGGATGCCGCTGCTGTTTATCACCTAACTTAGTTTCATTCTGACGCCTCTTACGACAACCACGTGATGATAAAGGGTTGTGAATTTTCTTCATTCGCCAATACACGGCAAGCAATCGGTACTATTATTTCCGAACTAAGTTTTGCAAAATCCAATTACTTTTAATCTCATGACTGTTGGACGGGAAATAAAATTGGAGCTTCTACAGATGATATGATAACGTACAGGAAACTGAACAGGAAATAGAACTTCAACACAAATCACATTAAAGCGTGTCAGCGATTCTTAAAATTTTTTGTACAAACAGTTTTTAAACAATGTATTTACGACAAATACACTGTTTACATTTTTCTTAATACGATATTCGCATTAACCATATTATATTATATGGTAAGAAAATCTTATGTTTAAAATTGTACAATTTTTTTTAATGTTAGTTTGTAACGTATGACATTCCTTGAAACACTAATAATGATACTATCTAACCTTGTAACGCCGGATAGTTTAATGAAGAATTACAAGTGATTAACATTACTTTAAATATCAACAAGTTTATTTCGTTTAACGCCCATATACATAAGATTCATATAAAAACTCGTGCGTCTAATCAAACGTAGCATTTGACCAGTGAAAATCTCCCAATAAGCAATGGCAGCCAAGGTATTTATTCAAAAGATCTATTTTTTTTTAGTTTATTTAGTTTTGATTTTTTTATGTCAAGTTGAGTCAAAATAGCTTTATTCAAAATAAGCCTTTACACAGCACTTTTTTGAAAATTTTGAAAGCTAAACCATCGTCTCAACAAGTCACTTCTATGGGAGACCTTGTGAGTAGAAGCGTCAACAAGAGGGTTTATTCCTGGTAGAGCCATGTTGCAGCTATATAGTTGAAGAACGAATAGGTCGGCTCTACTAAGGGAGGCCCACGTTCATACAGAAAACCATCGTAAAATAGCAGCTTAATGCTGCCTTACTTCGTATGTGAGTGTAGAGAACCGGGAACACTTTTTACTGGAAACAAGGCATTCCATCTTAGTCATCTGGGATGACAATGCATTTTTATTTAAACTTTTAATCGCGGAAATATGTCTATAGACCACAGCATCCACTAAGCATCAGATGACCTGTGTGCTTGTTCGTCACCCTTGTTTTATAAAAAATTAAATTTTTCTCCTAACAATTGAAACACATCTAAAGTATTTACATTAGTGTTATGTCTACGCATTCTTATCTTTTAAATAATCATCTTATTTGTTATATATTAAATTGTGTGCCAATTTGAGGATTTAAAACAATGGGTTCTTCTATAATTACAGTTGATCGTAGTCCTCGCCTTTGTGGCTGCAGCGCACTGCTCAGTGGTGCCTGCAACAACAGTGGTGAAAGCAGACGACGACTACACGAGCTTTGCATATGATGTGGCTGACCCCATTACTGGAGACTTCAAAAGCCAGTCGGAGACCCGAGTCGGTGGTACAGTGAAGGGCCAATACTCGCTGCTCGAAGCTGACGGAACTAAACGTACTGTCGACTACACTGCAGATGACATCAATGGTTTCAACGCAGTTGTGAAAAACGAACCTGCAGTTGTCACTACTAAGGTTGCTGCGCCTGCAGTAGTATCTACGCCGGTCGTATCCCGAGCCTCTGTTCCTGCTCGCGGGATCAGTGGCTCCACCTACACCATCGCTACTCCATCTGTATACACTGCTTCTCCTTCTGTTTATGCAATTAAAAACATTGCCGCCCCTTTGTACTACTCTAGCTCACCGTACACATATACTTCTTATTCTGTCCCAGTCACTTACTGGTAAACACAAGTATAGTAAAAAAATATCTCACAAAACAGAATTTATTCTACATGGTTGGGCGTAACTGTACATACATATGTAAATAAAAGTTGTTAATTAAATGCTTAAATTAAAATAATAATACTTTAATTTATAATCCTACACCAACATTTAAACTAAAACAAGAATCTATTACATATACATAATTACCCCTATAAATATTAAGCCATACTTGTTATTTACTATTTCAAATATTTAATACGAAATTTTGGAATAGTTTTCGGTAAACCGCTTGGTATTTAATATAACGGAAACCTCGAGATATTTGGAGCTATAAACTTTTATGCGTAGTTACCAAACTCAGTGCTACAGTGAACAGGCTACGCACAGACAGTGTATTTACACGAATTTTTTCGGAGTCACATTTGAAGCAATTACAATTAGAACTAGAAAACAATTACACTAGTATCACCTTTTCATTTTGTATGACTAATAATGTCTGGGTCTTGATGTTTGTCCTCGTGCAATATATGTTTGTAAACTGCCTCCACGATACAGGAGAAAATCCTAGTGTGCAGGTAACGTTTTAAAAAAAAAATTACAATTAGAACTAGAAAACAATTACACCAGTTTCACCTTTTCATTTTGTATGACTAATAATGAATTTAAAAAGGTTAAATTGTTTCAAAAATTAATTATACCCCAAGTTCAGTACAAACAACTTTTTTTTAGAATAAGTGTGACAAACGAATACACAGTCCTGAAGGTAAGTGGATGGTGTGGCCCATAAACATTACAATGCAGATGCTTTGTTACCTGGACTAATATGGGATGCCGCCTCGTTTCCAATAATATGGGTCTCCCACCCCTCCTAAGCCGACACATTTATAGCTATACAACCATAATATAGCTGCAGCAAACCACAACCATATCTAAGACTTTCGAGTTTTGGGGTTGTCGACTTCGGAGATAAAAGAGTTGAGATCTGAACGAGTGGTAAACTCCATAACTATTGAATAGAGCATAAAATCTACGGGAATGTATAACGTTCGACGCAAAGATGTTTTATAGGTCCAGATACCGTGTTGCTAACACACCGCAACGTTCACAGTGAAGAAGTCTTTGATTCATGTGTGCGTGAGTACCACGTGACGCGCATATCTTACGCACCATGGCTGCATTAATGTGCGTGACTTCAGTAATAACAATGCGATTCGATTACCCAAAAAATGTGGGAGATTTAATATTTCATTCCTATTGACGTACCTATTGATTCTAAGAGTATAAAATGTATGTGCATGGCGTGTGCATTTGTGTGTGTGTGTGTGTTTTATGTAGGTACGAACATCGCACTAAAATATTGAAGGTATGTAATAAAACCTATAATTAATGTAACAGTTAAAATAAATAAAAAAGCACAGTAGACATTTATTTATGTAACATATATTTATAATCTATTATTACTATTTTTAGAAATGTGTAGTGTTCGCGTAAATATAAGAAATCACTATTATTACTAAATATATACAGAGTACTACACTGTTGTACTGTAGATCACAAAATATTGCCGCTTTTTACGAAGACAATTAATTATTTTTCAATCCTAAGTAAAATGACGAAAAAAAGTAAGTTTGGTTAAGCGTAAACTTCAGCCAAGAGATAGCAAAATGTTTAATTTTTTTAAATTGCTCCGTTCCGTTGCTGCGTGAAGGAAGGACAAAAACAAATAAACAAAAAAAATCACACTTTCACATTTATAATATTATATTAGTATGAATTGTCAAGAATGATAGATAAACTTTGAAAACCGGTTTACAATCGGCTTTTTGAGGGTGGAACTATACCGGTTACTACTATAACCGTTCTGAGTGACCAAAAAAGATAGAAGCACAGGAAAGTGCAATTTCATGCTGCCAGATGTAGTTCAACCCTAACCCTTAAAATGGTTTAACTCTATAGGTTGGGTAAAATCTGTAAAATTAGACTGTTTAAAACCCCTATACAGATAACCTTTGTGGTTGATCATGACATTAAAAAATGTTAAAAACATTTCATAGACTAGGCAACACTCGAATATTATTGCGCAGTATTATTACTTGTATTGACATTTAGCTTTCGTATTCTTTTACAAAGAAATACACCATAAAATTGTATAGTTACTTATGCAAAGTGATGTTCTTATTTTTATCTTTTTTCCAAGAGTAATTTTTAAACGATTTCACAGCACAAACAGTTATTTTGCGAAATTAAAAACACCGGTGCGTGACGTATGTTCACAGCGAACGTCGCTGACGTAATGGCGGAACGATTGAACGAATACGCCAATATTGGCGCCTTTGAAATGGAAGCGTTTTAGGCGCCCGTACACGGTATCTGGACCTATAAAACATCTTTGGTTTGACGTTTTTGTAAACATACGAGAGTACTGAGAGTACTTTGACTTCACTGTCATCGTCAGTCTAGAAATTCTACGTCTGACGCAAGAGGGACAACACTTCCTATAATCGCCGATACCCAAGGGTCATAATAGGGTGGTAGATTTTCTAACGCCGCCTAACACGGCATAATTAAAAATCGGGACAGTTACAAAGATTCCTCTAGCTTTGCTGTTAATAATAATTTACTTTTAGATAAAACGAGAACGTGATGGGTTATGAGATGTAATATATTGATGAATGTTTAATTACGTCGTCTAAGAAACCAGGTAAGGCAATTAAATAAATAATAATAAAATGTAAAACTATATGTAAAAGGTGTTTCCTTACGGGAGCGACGAGTAATTTAACATAATTATTATATAACATCCATTGAAGGAGATGGCTCAGTTCCGTGCTTTGTGGTAATGTTCAGAAGTGGACTTGTTAATGTTGATAGAAAGGTTATCGTGCGGTGCAGAAGAATTCGTCATCGCATTTTTTTTTATAAAACTGAAGTGACAAACGAATTTACAAACTTCAAATAGTCCAAAGACGGCTACAGATACGTTGTCACCGCTGAGGACTACGTGAAAGATGGAATATTTCACAGTGTGTAATTATACTGACTTTATATACCCTTAAGGCGGAAGTGGAAAAGAAGTGAAGAAGAAAATGGCGACTACTAGGCGCCATATTGGAAAAAGAAAAAATGAAAGTCGACGAACTATGTCAAGTGGGATATCATTGAATAGGTCTTTGAAAATCATCTTTAGATTTCTCTAATAATTTTTCATTTATAAACACCATTTAGGATCTTCTTAATTCGTAAGTTCTCATTAACATTGAAAAACCAATTGATTTCATTGTATTCTTCCCCTGAATTAAAAGACCGCAATGTTTTCGAACTCATTAACTTTATAAAGGAAAATAATCTTGAAGAGGCCTTTCTACTACACATATTCCATAATTACTCGAATTTTTAACGTATACATGATGACGAAAAAGATTCGAATATGACGAAAGCATAAAGCTAATCAATAAGCAAATGACTAATTTGGAAAAAAGAATTATATGTTTTTAAAATAAAATTAATTTGAGATTAGAATTCTTAGCCAAAATGGACAGTACTGCAGAACAGCAATTTAATAGGTAAAGGCCTATAGACCTATTAGGTATTATGTTATGTATATCATTTTAAAGATAATTGAATTTATATGTTGAGATTACTTGTTATTTTTCAGATGTCTTCCATACTTAGAAATAAACTGAAAAAGAGACTCTAGCCTCCTAAAGCCCAATGTTCTCATACAAGGACTTAACAAAGAACAGATTCCGGCTCTGCCTCAATGGGCGTAATGAAGTTCTGGTGGCAAAGCGTTCTCATACGAGGACATAACAATTGTTCTAAGATATTTCGAAAATATGCGCCAACATGCAAATTTTCTTTGTGCTCTTTGATTGAAGAATATATAAGTGACATGTTTTTAGCTTCATTGTACGTGATAATCAGAGACAATCTGCTATTTTGTAGCCAAAAGTAAAACGTGAAGCGCACGCGCAGTGGAAGTAAGTAATATCGCTACTTATTTGTCCAATCATTCTTAGTTTTAAAATATGTAAAAGTTAAAGACAGAACACCAAAGAGTAGTTGTATTTTGTTATTTAAGTTAATATTTATTTCGTAAATGGTTTTTCTTACCAGTGATTTATTTTGTTCATGTGTGAGAACATCTGGCCGATGTTCCATTAGTTGCCTGTTATAATTTGTTCTCATGAAAACCTTTATTTTTAATTTGACTAGAGAAACCTAAAGATGATTTTCGAAGACCTATTCAATGATACCTTGACATAGTTCGTCGACTATAATTTTTTTTTCTTTCTCCCAATATGGCGTCTGGTAGTCGCCATGTTGAATTTTGAATTGTATTTGTAATTGTCAGTAAGCTTGCATACTGCATAATAAAAGTGTATAGAGTCTTCTCTTTCTTTTCCTTTCACTTTACACTACCATTGTTACCCATTCTAAAAATCATAGGATATTTCTAGTGTTCCTAAAGTCAGTCTATTTTACCTATTTCTGCGAGAAAGTATTAGCGTGTGTGCACTTCTTTTCCACTTTTCTTAAGGGTATAGAAAGTCAGTATAATTACACACTGTGAAGTATTCCATCTTTCATGTAGTCCTCAGCGGTGACAACGTATCTGTAGATCCGTCTATATTTGAAGTCTATAGACTGCAGTAACCACTTACTATCAGGTCGACTGTAAGTTCGTTTGTCACTTCAGTTTTATAAAAAAAAAATGCGGTCACGAATTCTTCTGCACCGCACGATAACCTTTCTATCATAGTTAACAAGTCCACTTCTGAACATTGTGGTATAAAGCACGGAACTAAGTCATCTCCTTCAATGGATGTTATATGACAATTATGTTAAATTACTCGTCGCTCTGTCGTCCTGTAAAGAAACACCTTTTACATATAATTTTACATTTTATTATAATTTATAATTCATTTATTGCATGTCACAAAGTATAACGTTGTTACAATATATCTACAGAGCATGTGACAACCCTGTACGGGCGTATCATTTTAAGATGGATTTTAATTGTTAATTAATATGAAATCAAATTAAATTACAATTTTTAAGGTACATAATCTATACATTATTATTAATTAATTTATTAAATATCAAACCAAATAATACACACATTTATTTAAAATGAAATGTCAATAAATATTTCATCTTAACTATTGGTCATTTTAATTCATATAAATAAGATTTAAAACTTTGATGAAAATATTAATAATGTCATTTAAGTAAATAGAAATAATAAATTTTGTCAAAATAATTTAAATTTATAATTTGTCATTAAAATATTCATTTAAGTTATAATAGCTTTTTACAATAAGCATTTTCTTAAGAACTATTTCAAATTTACGACACTGGAGGGCTTTTATATTATTAGGTAAATGGTTGTAAACCCTTATTGCCATATAGTAGGGACCATTTTTAAATATTGTTAGATGTGCGGTAGGAGCAACCAGTTTATAACCACGGTATTATTATTTATTTAATTGCCTTACCTGGTTTCTTAGACGACGTAATTAAGCATTCATCAATATATTACATCTCATAACCCATCACGTTCTCGTTGTAATGTTTATGGGCCACACCATCCACTTACCTTCAGGATTATGTGTTCGTTTGTCACCTTTATTCTATAAAAAAAGTTGTTTGTTGGGGTATAACTTGGGTATAACTTGGGGTATAATTAATTTTTGAAACAATTTAACCTTTTTAAATTCATTATTAGTAATATAAAATGAAAAGGTGAAACTGGTGTAATTGTTTTCTAGATCTAATTGTAATTTGTTTTTAAAAACGTTACCTGCACACTATGATTTTCTCCTGTATCGTGAAGGCAGTTTAAAAACATATAATGCACAAGGACAAACATCCAGACCCAGACATTATTAGTCATACAAAATGAAAAGGTGATACTAGTGTAATTGTTTTCTAGTTCTAATTGTAATTGCTTCGAATGTGACTCCAAAAAACTTCGTGTAAATACACTGTCTGTGCGTAGCCTGTTCACTTTAGCACAGATTTTGCTAACTACGCATAAAAGTTTATAGCTCCAAATATCTCGAGGTTTCCGTTATATTAAATACCAAGCGATTTACCGAAAACTATTCCAAAATTTCGTTTTAAATATTTGAAATAGTAAATAACAAGTATGGCTTAATATTTATAGGGGTATTTATGTAATAGATTCTTGTTTTAGTTTGAATGTTGGTGTAGGATAATAAATTAAAGTATTATTATTTTAATTTAAGCATTTAATTAACAACTTTTATTTACATATGTATGTACAGTTACGCCCAACCATGTAGAATAAATTCTTTTGTGTGAGATATTTTTTTACTATACTTGTGTTTACCAGTAAGTTACTGGGACAGAATAAGAAGTATATGTGTACGGTGAGCTAGAGTAGTACAAAGGGGCGGCAATGTTTTTAATTGCATAAACAGAAGGAGAAGCAGTGTATATAGATGGAGTAGCGATGGTGTAGGTGGAGCCACTGATCCCGCGAGCAGGAACAGAGGCTCGGGATACGACCGGCGTAGATACTACTGCAGGTGCAGCAACCTTAGTAGTGACAACTGCAGGTTCATTTTTCACAACTGCGTTGAAACCATTGATGTCATCTGCAGTGTAGTCGACAGTACGTTTAGTTCCGTCAGCTTCGAGCAGCGAGTATTGGCCCTTCACTGTACCACCGACTCGGGTCTCCGACTGGCTTTTGAAGTCTCCAGTAATGGGGTCAGCCACATCATATGCAAAGCTCGTGTAGTCGTCGTCTGCTTTCACCACTGTTGTTGCAGGCACCACTGAGCAGTGCGCTGCAGCCACAAAGGCGAGGACTACGATCAACTGTAATTATAGAAGAACCCGTTGTTTGAAATCCTCAAATTGTCACACAATTTAATATATTATAAATAAGATGATTATTTATAAGATAAGAATGCGTAGACATAACACTAATGTAAATACTTTAGATGTGTTTCAATTGTTAGGAGAAAAATTTAATTTTTTATAAAACAAGGGTGACGAACAAGCACACAGGTCATCTGATGCTTAGTGGATGCTGTGGTCTATAGACATATTTCCGCGATTAAAAGTTTAAATAAAAATGCATTGTCATCCCAGATGACTAAGATGGAATGCCTTGTTTCCAGTAAAAAGTGTTCCCGGTTCTCTACACTCACATACGAAGTAAGGCAGCATTAAGCTGCTATTTTACGATGGTTTTCTGTATGAACGTGGGCCTCCCTTAGTAGAGCCGACCTATTCGTTCTTCAACTATATAGCTGCAACATGGCTCTACCAGGAATAAACCCTCTTGTTGACGCTTCTACTCACAAGGTCTCCCATAGAAGTGACTTGTTGAGACGATGGTTTAGCTTTCAAAATTTTCAAAAAAGTGCTGTGTAAAGGCTTATTTTGAATAAAGCTATTTTGACTCAACTTGACATAAAAAAATCAAAACTAAATAAACTAAAAAAAAATAGATCTTTTGAATAAATACCTTGGCTGCCATTGCTTATTGGGAGATTTTCACTGGTCAAATGCTACGTTTGATTAGACGCACGAGTTTTTATATGAATCTTATGTATATGGGCGTTAAACGAAATAAACTTGTTGATATTTAAAGTAATGTTAATCACTTGTAATTCTTCATTAAACTATCCGGCGTTACAAGGTTAGATAGTATAATTATTAGTGTTTCAAGGAATGTCATACGTTACAAACTAATTAAAAACAATTGTATAATTTTAAACATAAGATTTTTAAACCATATAATATAATATGGTCAATGTGTATATTGAATTAAGAAAATTCTAAACAGTGTATTTGTCGTAAAAACATTTTTAAAAAAATGGTTGTACAAAAATGTTTAAGAATCGCTGACATACTTTAATGTGATTTGTATTGAAGTTCTATTTAGCATTAAGATACCTGTTCAGCTTCCTGTACGTTATCATATTATCTGTAGAAACTCCAATTTTATTTCTATTTTTAATTGGAGAGTTTTTGGGTTTTTCTGCGACGGATTTTGCAAAACAGCTCGGAAACAACAGTACCGATTGCTTACCGTGTAGTGGCGAAGTAAGAAAATTCACAACTCTTTATCATCACGTGGTTGTCGTAAGAGACGTCAGAATGAAACTAAGTTAGGTGATGGATAGCAGCAGAATCCTGAAAACAGCTTTATAATAAAAACTTCTGTTGACAATTGCCCTGCCAAGCGTGACTACTGAGGCAAACATCCCTCCGTCAGAAACGACACCAAATAATAATAATGTGGCTCTCAGGCGATCTCATTACCATCTGGTGAAGGAGCTTTGTTTGCTACATTCGACAAATTGACCTGGTAACATTTAACACACGCAATCTGACTGATGAAAAGATCTTCGAGCTGGAAGAAGAGGCAGGCAATTTATGTTGGGATATTATAAAATTAACTGAGGCCCCGAGAATCATTTGTGATGAACTATCTTTCAGAAGCAGGCCCTTAGGAAATGGACCGGCTCGGGACCACTTCGGAATTGTTTAGTGATTGCGAGAATAAAAATTGGCAACGATCACCGAATAGTGAGAGACAAACTGAACCTTAATCTTAAGTTGGAAAAGTTACAACCAATGAAGTCAACGCTCCGTTCCCTTTGTGTTCTAAATAAAACCCCGGAAATATTTAAGTCTAATAAATAAAAATGTTTTCCGTGCCTAGTAGTGAATATTACAATACAGTGGACGGGCGATATTAATGACTCGCTCGTGCTCGCTCGAGCTCGTGGGCACTATCCATATAACTTTTGATCTAAAAACCTTAAAATGTATTACTGGGATAGATTTAGCTTGATATGTTATTGTATTTTTAATCCGTGTTAGCTCAGTGGCGAAACGCTCGTTGTAAACTTCACAATACGCGAGCAACCCGCGTTCGAAGCACGTCGACGCCATTTGATTTTTAAATGCAATTTTAAGTGCTCTACGGTGAAACAGCCTGGTGATGAAAGCTAGAGAACAAACTTGAGGGATATCTGAGAAATAAAATATTTCAAAGACAAGAATCACGCCAACACGGGCTAGACTAGCGTGGTGGACAGATTGCTTCATACAACCTCTCAAAAACAAGATCTGTGCCCAGCAGTGGTTCGAATATAGACCGTAAATTTAAACTTTTTTTATGTTGACAAAACCATTAGGAATTCGCTGCAATTAGCTAATTTAATGAAATACCTGAACTGTATGTACCGATTCCTTAAATACATTTCTAATTCTAGTTTAGAAAAGAATAGATTTTTTTTTATTTACTTTAGATTATTACATAATACTTATTGAAAGTATTTAATTTATTAACACTAGTTCAGAAAAAACCTCTCCTCAAGAAGCAGCAAGAAACCCAGCGGGATTATAGAAATATATAAATCTATACAAGTAAATAAAATTGAAGTGTCTGTTTGTAATGTCAAAATTACAACTTTTTACTAAAAGCATATGAAAGTATATCGGCACTAATAACAAAAATACAATTTTTAAAGTTTCTCTGTCTGTCTGTCTGTCCGTCTGTCTGTCTGTTTGTTCCACCTAATCTCCGAAACGGCTCGACCGATTTTGACGGGATAACTGATGTCACAAGGAGTAACTTAGGCTACTTTTATTTTAGAAAAAGAATTAGCGTTCCGCGCAAAAAAATTAAAACCACAAATAACACGCGGATGAAGTCGCGGGGAACAGCTAGTTTACAATAAGTAAATTTTTATATATGAATTAAAATAGAACAAGCATGGTAGCGACCACCTCATTCCCAGGGGTTATTTTCATTCATGTATTCCTTAATCAAAATTATAATAACCCTTTTTGTACAATTTTTTCTTCATTAAATTTTTAAACTTTACAAACTTTGACTTTTTCTAGTATTTTCTTGTAAAAGCGTAAGTGTAAATGAATAACTAGTTAATTTTGTGGAGTCTAGTAACTGGCATTACAAGCTTATGTTTGTTCCTAGTCTGTAAGTATGTGTATTCCTGTGTGTAAGTATGAATATCTTTATTCTTATCTTTGATATTTCATGTTTTTTATGTAAATACGTAACATTTTTATAAATATGTTGCACTGATCTGAGGGACTATTCACAACTTAAGTTATAGATCACCCGTACGGCCCTCTTTTGCAAAACAAATATGGTTTCAATTTCAGACACGTTGCACCATAAAAACGTTCCATAAGATATCTCGATATAAAAGTAATTAAAGTAATCTAATCTAGCTGTCTCAGTACCCCTTGTAGTGGCTGGTTAGAATACCCACTACCCCATATCTTCCCGTGGGTGTCGTAAGAGGCGCCAGAAGGAAACTGTGTCAGAAGATGGGCAGCACCATATTTCTGATAACAACAAATTACAATAAAAAAAACTGCGGTTGTCAACCTGCTCGCCAAACGTGGCAACTATGGCAATACCATGACTAGAGTTACAAATAGACGGCCCCCAGTCCCCGGAGGCCCCGCTATCCCTGGCTACGGTGGCAACCATGGTAACGGCGGGGTAGGCGGTGCTAAGAATCTCTGGTAGAGGTTCGGTTGCCACCTAAGACGACTCGACATGGCAACATACAACGCACGCACCCTGAGCACTGACGAGAATACCCTCGAGCTGGAAGAAGAGATAGAAAAGTTGCGCTGGAATATTATAGAATTATCTGAGGTCCGAGAAAAAGGCGAAGACACGGTAATCCTCGAATCCGGCAAAAATGTATTAATAATAGAATAAATAATAAAATAAAAAAGTATAAAATAGTAAACATTTTTCTAATAATAATATACTGATCTTCAACAGGACGAGTTCCAATTCAAGCTAATAAGATAATAATAGATACTATACATCAAAATAATATTTGATTAGTTAGATAAATTTTAATTCTTTGAATTTATTTATTGAAAGTTAAAGGGAGAGTAATTAAACTTAAAAGAGATATTACTAAAGCAATAATTCCTCCTAATTTATAAGGAATAGGTCGTGAAATTGCATGAAATAATTAAAAATTAAAAATTTTGTACAGCCGACTTCAATATAAGTTATTAAGAATAACTCAAATAACTCAACTATTAGTTTGACCCTGATCAAATTCATAGGGGATCACACGAGAAGTATCAGCTTTCCTATAAAAAAAGAATCATCGAAATCGGTCCACCCAGTTAAAAGTTATGAGGTAACACACATAAAAAAACATACGCGTCGAATTGAGTACCGTCTCCTTTTTGGAAGTTGCAGAAAATAAGAAATATCATTCAGGTAGAATATGAATTGGAGTTACTTAATAGATTAGCAAGAATAAAATTATCAGGATTCCCTAGTAGATAAGGATTGGTTAATGTTAACATGATTAATAATATTAATATTATAATAAATATAATTAAATCTTTAAAAGTGAACAATGGATGAAAGGGGATCACCGGAAGTGCGACCATTTCATCATCTCGTCCCAAGGAGGTGGTCGGATTTATCGTCCACAAGTCACTCGTTAACAACGTAGTAATGATTGTGAGCGTGTCGACGAGGGTTGCGTATCTAATACTCAGAATCACCAAACGGTATTCGTTGAAGGTCATAGAGGCTTACACACCAACCTCGGCACATCCTGATGAGGAGATAGAAGAAATGTATAAGGATATTTCTAAAGGCATGTATTCCTCCAAAACCCACTGTAAGGTGTTGGGATGGAATGGAAGACTTCAACGCAAAATTAAGCAAAAGTGAGAACGGTGAGCTGAGAGTGGGGTAATTTGGGATAGGGCAACCGAACTTAAGGGGCCAGCAGCTGGCCGACTTCATGGAGAAAGAGGGACTCTTTATGATGAACTCTTTCTTCCAGAAGCGGCCCCACAGGACGTGGACCTGGTCTAGCCCCGACGGTGCAACAAAAAATGAAATTGACTTAAATATGACTTAATTACAAGACGGCAACTGTTTAGTGATGTCTCAGTGATCGCGAGCATGAAAACTGGTAACGATAACCGAATAGTTAGTCACACTGAACCTAAACGTAAAGTTGGAGATGTCACGTCTAATGAAGTCAACGCTCCGTCCCCTCTGTTCCAAAGTCCCGAAACTTTTCAGCTCGAGTTACAAAACCGTTTTCAGTGCCTAGAAGATTGCAATGCAGTGAACGATATGAATAATATGAGCCCCGCCGCAGAAGAACACAAAAACTCTCCAATCACACTCTTAATCTCATGGCTGTTAGATGGGATGTGAAGTCTTCAGCAGATTTGACAGAATACAGGCAACTGAACAGACAGATCTACAAATGCATACGGTGGACCTTACGCTACTTTAATACTGCTCGTATTGAAGAAGCGATCGAGCGGAATCAGGGCTCCAAAGTCTTTGCCAGAGATCTGTCTGCCAGAAAGAGCCAACTGTCGAAGCTTAAGACCGAGTGTGGCAGCGTCGTTTCCGGGACACCTGAGATTTTGAGTGAGATTGAGAGGTTCTATGGGGAGCTCATCGTATGGAGCCACACGCAAGTGTGAGAAAAGATCCAAGATCAAGTCTTATCTGAGCGAGATTAGAATGGCTCTCCAGCACCTTTAAAACGGCAAGTCCCCGGGCGAGGATGGAATTACAGCGGAGCTTCTGAAAGCGGGTGGAAAATCGGTACTTGAATTCCTTCAGATACTCTTTAGTTCCGTTCCCCATGGTTAAACTACTCCGGAGGTGGACAGGAGAAGTGCGGTGGTCTTGTTCTTCAAGAAAGGTGACAATGCTCTTTTGAATTACTACAGACCGATCTCCCTTCTGAGCCGCATCTATATGTTCTTTCCGAGAGTCATTAAGAATCGTCTCGCACGCAGACTCAACGACTTCTAGCCTACTACTACTAGGTAAACATACTCGTTAACGACTTCTAGCCTCCCGAACAAGCCGGTTTCTGATATGGCTTTAGCACCACAGATCACATACATACCCTTCGGCAAATTGTACAGAAGACCGAGGAGTACAATTTATCACCATGTCTTGCGTATATGGACTATGAGAAAGCCTTTGATTCCACCGAAATTCGGGCGGTACTGCAGTCCCTTCAGCGGTGCCAAGTTGACTGTCGGTATATCGAAGTGCTGAAGTGTTTGTACAATAGGGCGACAATGGCTATCCGAGTACAGAACCAGAGTACGAAACCTATTAGGTTAGGTTTTAAGACGAACATGGACAAAACAAAGATATATATATATATATATATATATATATATATATATATATATATGTCCATGTCACACCTATGTCGGTAGTTGTTGGGAAGCTCGAAGTTGTTGACGAGTATGTTTACCTAGGACAAATAGTCTGACTAGGTAAGTCCAACTTAGACCGACAGGTCAATCGACAGAATTAACTCGGCTGGGCAGTGTTCGGGAAATTATGACATATCATTACGTCAGGTATACATAAAAACTTGAAAATGGGACTGTACAACTATTGCGTGTTGCCAGTGATGACTTATGAAACTGAGACGTGGCTCTTCACTGCTGGCCGTATGAGAAAGCTCAAGGTCGTTTAACTAGCTATGAAGAGGGCTATGCTCGGAGTTTTTCTGCGCGATATACTTAGAAATGAGGATATCCGCAGTAGAACCAGAGTGACTGACATAGCGCAACTGATTAGTAAGCTGAAGTCGCAATAGGCCGGCCATATACCTCGACAACCGATAGGGAAAAGGTTCTCGAGTGGCAACCTCGTACCCAAGTGTAGGGCGACCTCGTACTAGATGGAGTGACGACCAGATAAGACATGCAGTATGTCGATTGATGCAGGTGGCTTAGGATTGTGCGTTGTGGCATTCCTTGGTGGAGGCCTATATTCAGCAGTGGATTTTTTAGGGGCTGTAATGATGATAGTTGATAATGATGAGCTATCTCAGCATTGGTGAGACTTCTTATCTCTTTTACAGCATATGCTGCAGAACTAAGTCTGCTTACTAATTTATATATATGGGGTCCGTGTTGAAGCTTCGCGTCAATAATAATACCAAGAAAAACAGTGGTATCTACAAGACTCAACTCCTCCTTTCTTTATTTAACAGTCCCCTCTCCCGTTTAATAGCACATTGGTATTCAAATGTATAATATTAGGTATTATAAATTTCATACAATTTGTTTTATTACCGTTTAAAAGCAAATTGTTGATGTTAAACTAATGCACGAGTACTAATTTCAATAGAGCATTAATTACATCGTCATAAATCAATGACTGCTGTTTTAGTTTAAGAAACAGAAATACAATTTATAATCATGTAAAAACACTTTTTTGAAATTTTTTGACAACGAAACTTTCGAATCATTCGATTTTGATTTTTTTTGGTAGCAATTTGTGGAAATAATAAAGTCTATTATTAAAAAGAATGATTATCAAAAGTTATGTGGAAAACACATTTTTCATGCACACGCACACGCTCACGCACATACACATGCACAAGGAAACGCACACGCACACGCATAAGTACACGCACACGCACACGCACGCGCACTTGCACACGCACACGTACACGCACACACATACGCGTATGGACAGTGAGAGTAGCTTCCCCTCCTAGAACCTCAAAAGCATGAAATTGATCTGATGAAACCTCGATTTCCGAAAACTGGGTTGAAAAAAAATTCCTTCAAGGTTTTTTGAAAATTATTGTTTTTCATAGCGGGAAGTTAAAAAACTATTTGTTACTTAGTAGTAATATTTATATGTATATTTTTGGGTATTATTGTAAAGTTCCTTAGAATATCTAAAAGTATATTGATCTAATAATAAAAACACACAAAAATTGCAATAAATTCTAGTAAATTCTTTAGGTTTGATATATGCTTTCCTTGATTCTTGGCCTTATTACGATAGAAAATATACAGATACTATACAATATAATATGATATATTATAGAAAATAGTGTCATTGGAAACTTAGGTATTTAAGAGAAATACGAAGGCAGCGTTGAAACTACTTTTTTAAAGAAATCAGATATGATAGACCACTAACCATCGCAAAAGGGGAATGATTTGCGAGGCTATTGAAATACCAGGTGCTACCATCTGCTTGGGATCACATAGTACATAACATTAAATCTAAACATTGAATAAAACTATTTTTGCGGCACTCATGGTCGCGGTGGGGACTTACATAGGTGTTTGACGTCCCGATGTCATACTTACTCTTACTCTTATTTAAAAAAACGTTACCCGCACACTAGGATTTTCTCACAAATACTTGTTCCGTGCGGGATTCGAACCTGCGGCCCCAAGCGTTGCAACTCATTGCGAAGCTACTACGCCACGGAGCCGTCAAGCCGGAGTTAACCCGGCTACCTTCTATCAGTCCTTGAATAACAATTTTGATGGGATCTACGAATGAGCTTACAGTATCTTGAAGTCTTGCAGTAGTATGCTTGGGTTAGTTGTACTAACAAATTGTTTCGAGTCTGATAATATGTTCATGTGTAATCTATGTACTCGTATGCCATAAACCGCCTCTACTGTACGGGAGAAAATCCTACTCTGGCGTTTTAAAAATAATTAAGAATTGATATTAAAAAAAATAATGCAAGGTAATAGATATTTTTGAAACTTTATTTTTAAACATTATTGTACAAACCTTTGCAATATATGGGACTGACTTTAAATTCAACGCTACTTGTTTTAGGTTGTTTATTGGTGCGGTTAGTTTTAAAAACTGTACTTGACGCACCGATAAATTTGTCAACATCGAATATCGATAATTTGCAGTTATTCGATTTATTTCGTTGTATACATCCAATGATATACCTTGATACTAAATTGCAAGTTTCTATGTACCTAAACTATAAGTGGCTTAGGTTTTGGATAATTGAGTCAGTAGGTAAATAAAACATTTTTTTCAGACATTAATAACTGAATAATTTTTTATAGGATATGTGTGTGTGTGTGTGCTTGCGTGCGTACGTGCGTGCGTGCGTGCGTGCGTGCGTGCGTGCGTGCGTGTGTGTGTGTGTATAGATTTTATGTAATATGTATAAAATCTATGTAGTTTTTTTTCTGATTTACAATAATATTCTTTTTATTTTTGGCCGATATCACATTATTTCTACACGCACCGGGTTTATTTGAATGCCAAAAGGCTTTAAATAATCCTTTTTATTAAATTGTACAATAAAGTATAAATAAATAAATAATATACTATAATGAAACACCATCTTTGAAGATTAATTTGTTTTATTTTATGTACTCGACGTAAATATTATGTACAAAGCTTATATTATTTACAAACGAAATATTAAAATATTTTATCGTTTATCGTATAATAAGAGACCTCGGTGCCTTAATCAATTATTTACCAGTAAGTAATCGGCGATGAGTAAGCTGCATAGGTGTACGGTGACTGAGCCAGGTATGTGGGAGAGGCAAAGGTACGAGTGGTGAATAGAGCGGGCGCGGAGGCGGTGTAGTACGTAGGAGAAGCCAAGTTGCGGGTTACAATTGTAGGTGCACTTGCAGCGTAGTAAGTGGGGGCAGAATAGTACTTTTGCGCATATAACGGGGTAGCTGCGGCGTACACAGATGGTGCGGCGAAGGTGCGGGCGTCGACGACAGCAGGAGCGGAGGCCACGACTGCGGGAGCGGAGGCCACGACAGTCGAAGTTACAACAGCGGGGTCTTTCCTCACAACTGCGTTGAAACCATTGACGTCATCAGCGGCGTAGTCCACGGTCCGTTTGGTTCCATCAGCGTCGAGCAGCGAGTACTGTCCCTTCACCGTGCCACCGACGCGTGTCTCTACTTGGCTCTTGAAGTCGCCAGTGTTAGGATCCGCTACATCGTAAGCAAAGCTGGAGTAGTCGGCGTCTACTTTCGCCACTGGTACCGCTGGCACTACTGAACTTTGGGCCACGGCAACCAAGGCGGCGAGCACTACGACGAACTGTAACAGAAATATTGTTTTTAACACATTGACTGCCATATAGGGCACCGGTGACCGGAGGCGGTCTTGTATTAAGGCGCCACGTAGGACACCGGTGACCTCACGGTGAACCTGTTTTCAGAGTTTATTTACGCGCCGTAGTACGCGTTTTCTATAGATTTCCTATGAGTAAGTGACCGGAATGGCGCTCAGGAGTAATACTTTCGCATGGTTTCTATGTAACGTAAAAATATTTTGAATTATTGAAGATAAACGTTCAATAACGTTAAAAATCCTAGAACATAACATTTTTTTTTAAATCCAAACATATTTATAAATGGTATGGGAAGAATAATAAAACGAGTAGTAAAATTAAACTTTTTTACCTTTTAGTATAAAATTGCCCACTAATCTGAAAAAAAAAACAAAAAAGAAAGGAAACAATATATCTGAAAATGAAGTTCACATTCTTACAATTACAAATACCGATGGCACTTATTAAAACATTGAAGACAATAGTGGGGTAGTCCAGGACATTCAGGACAATAGGTTGCCACTTTTTTTGCCTTGTTTTTAGCAAGTCTTGATCCAAACGTCGTGACACTGGTTTTGTAGCATTCTACACAGAAGCGCCTGGATTGCCTTACTTTGCCTTCCTTTGCTTTTAATGTATGTTTCAGTCTTTTAGGTCTCTTAGAAATAGATTCATTTTTACCAGAGTCTACTAGATATTCTACTAATTGACGTCGGAATTCTACAATTCCTTGTTGAGTTGTATTTTCGCAAAACATGATCCAGGCATTTACTACAGCCGTATTTAAAATTAATTCGATGCCTAAATTCTTATACCATTTTATGGTTTTTCTTAATGGTGATGAATACGCGCTCATCTGATCGCTCATGTCTACAGATCCTTTTGCTTTATTATATGCTATAACCATCTTCGGTTTTCGAATCACTTTTCCTTTTTTATGCACACTAGCAAATCCTTTAGAGTGTTTAGTGGAGAGCATGAATACACTTCGTTTATCCTTCCAGTGCAACACTGTTATACCGCGTTCGTTTTCCATTGCTACAGATTGGCCTGGTTTGAGTTTTGCATTAATAACTTGTTTGGGCAGGCCCTTTCTATTTTTTCTCAGCGTGCCTACTAAATGAGTATACCTATCTAGAAGTTCATTGGCTAAATCCAAACTCGTATACCAATTATCCGTAGCTACGGTGTGCCCCAAATCAAGTATTTCTTTACACAGTGACATTACAACGTTTTTAGGCGTTGTATTCAGCTGTTCGTGGTTTTTACCAGCGTAAAGTTCTAATTTACAAGTATAACCTGGTATTGTGCACAGTTTGAACAGCTTCATACCATATTTGTGCCGTTTGCTCTTATTATATTGTCTAAAGATCAATCGCCCGGGGTAAGGCACTTGACTTTCGTCGACACAAACTTCTTCTTTAGGCGAATAGTACCGTCGAAATGAGTTATTTAACGTATCTATCAGACTGCGTATTTTATAGATTCTATCGGTGGTATCTGCAGTTTCGTTGTCAACGAAATGCAGATTCTGCAACAACAGTTCGAATCTATTACGACTTATGATCGAAGGTGCAAAAGTTTGTTTGAAAACTCTGTCTGTGCTCCAATATAAAGTTATTTTTGGGAGTTTGATTAGTCCCATGTACATAATAAGTCCAAAAAGAGCCTTGACTTCATTTTTGTTTGTTGACTTCCAACTATTCAAACGCGATGACGGCTTTGAGCTTTCGCGTCGCTCAGCATACAAGTTGGTTTGCACAGCTATTTCCTCAAAAATTTCGTCTGAGACTAATAATGAAAAATAGGCTCCTGGGTCTGCATTTCGTAGTTCAATATCATACGGTTTCTTGATACCTAGAACAAATCCGTACTTTGGTTATAAAAGGACATAAATAGACAGTAGACTATTTAAAAAGAGTAAAAATATTCTTGACTGTTGAGCATTAACCATAGAAAACATACAGATGAATTGAGAACCTCCTTCTTTTTTAAGTCGGTTAATGAATAAAACACAAACTTATAGCACATAAATGATATATTATTATATTTATATCATTATAAATACCTGTTGGCTCCGTAAATGCAATCACTGATGGTTGGAGTCCTCTTGGTTCTCTCCATTTTTGTGGCCTACTTGACGACATAAGAGCCACATTTTGAGTGACAAAATTTTCCACCGAATCACATTCACTTTCCGAATCGCTTCTTATACAAAGACGCCTTCGATTTTTTGGGGGAGGGATATTCTCATCCCCACTCTCCGTACACAAATCTTCCTCTAAATCGTATACGTTGTCACATAACGTGTCTACTTTATTCAACAATGACTTTTCCAGTAAATCAATTTCATATAAATTATCCTGGGTAAAAAATAGGTCCTCAGAGTTTATATCTAACTCGGACATTGTTTACTAAGTACGTACGACAAAAGAAAGTGGTAATCGTAAAATGACATAACGTAACATCCATTCCGTGATAGCGCGTGTAAGCGACTAAGGTGCGCGGGTGGCCGGAGAGATGACCGCACGGCGCCTTGGTAACAGAAATCAACATAATTACTTCTGTGCGCCATGTAGGGTACCGGTGACCTCGTGAAGTTTTTTTTAATTTTCTACGGAACCCTGCCTCCGATTGATCCCAAAATTTAATACTATGTATATCTAGACCCATAACATCAATTGACACAATTTTATTTTTTTGTGATTTTTGTCATTATTACTCTGGCAGTTAATGTGTTAAACTTGGAAACTTACTTTTATTACTGTTACGATAAAAATGTATAAGTCGCGTTTGGAATACAATATTAAAATAAAAACAAAATTATATCTTATGTACAAACGAATACTAGAAATTAAATTAAATTAATTTTAAGGATTTTATCGCGTTTAATTACTTATTTAAGAATATTTAAGAACATTTCGAGTGCTTTACAGTACCCATGGTCACGGGGGGAGCTGCAGTGTTTGACGTTCTAATATTATAGTTTACTATTTATTAAAAAAAAAATATTGATTGATATTGAAAAGCTAAGGGAGTCCGGGTGAAATATGATATGGAGACGTTGCCGTAATATTAGTTTTAATAAACAAACAAATGAAATGGAACTTATTACAAGCCTTAACTTCTTTATCGTCGCGTAAAAGTTCATTAACCTCTGCCATGGGAGGGTTCGCTTTGACCGTCACACTCTGCAAATTGATTGACGACTGGAGTACCAGATGTCGCGTACTTTTGACTCTGCTTCCCGTTATCGGTTTAAGTACTTTACGTCTGGCGTTTATATAATATAACTAGCAATACGCCCCGGCTCCGCACGGGTTTTTTTAGATCTCGAAAATAGCTCCACCTAATGGGTCAAGTTATGACTCTAAACTGTTCTCTAATCAACTTAATGGCACACAAAAAATTTCATCAAAATCGGTCCAGCCGTTTAGGAGTTCAGTCACATACACACGGACAGAAGAACTTTATATATAAATTGTAGCTGGCCAGGCAGATGTTGTTCTGCCCTTTCCAACGACTCTTCCTATAAAAAATCCGTAAATTCACAATAAAAAAATTTTGAGGGTCACTTAGCGGGATAAAAACTATACTATCTCTTAATTTGGAGCAAGCAATACACATTTACAAAATTTCATTAAAATCGGCGGAGTGGTATCAGAGTTCATCGCGGACTAACAATGTGACACGTAATTTTTATATATAAATATATATATATAAGTCATAGATAGTGTTTACAGTATAACAAATAGTGACCTTTAATTTAAAATCTAAACAATATGCTCAAAAGACACATATTAGATAATACCTAGGTACCTAGTAGGACTCCATCTCTGCCTAGGTGTCTGCCTAAGTACCACCCTCTCACCTGTTTCTGTCGCCAAATACCAGTGCATGCACTGCTGTGTTCCAAATAAGGGAAGGGTATAAACAGTTCTAAATATATTATAGGCCATGAGATATTCCATCTTAGTCTTCAGAGGTGACTATATATCCGTAGCTTTCATTGTTTGAAGTTATCCGCAGGAGACCATGGACTGCAGTAGGCTCTTAACATCAGATGAACTGTAAGTTCGTTTGTCACTTCAATTTAAAAAAATATATATTATCTAGCACTGTTTAAAAATAATCACGATAACACTTTACTAGTAATCACCTTAACTGCCATTGTTGTTTAGTCAGGAGAATTTCCACTCGTTGAATGAATACTGACGAATGTGGCCGGGAGCTTTTATACGGATCATACACGCGCGGGCGTGCCTTAACGTAGTCACTAGGTGATCTTTAAAACATGCGCGTACATACGTCAAGCGTTATAGTTATTACACGATGGATCCGGAAACGCAAGGCCGTTCGGTGCTCTTACTGGAAAGTGTACTGCGGACAAAGAAAGATGTGAGACGCAATTACAAAGTCTACAAGGTTATGAATATAATTCGTTACGGAGCAAATCAGTTAATTCAAAGCACGTAAGAATTCCTAATTTTACACAGTTGGTGTTCAGGTTAAACCTGAGAGAGGCCCGAGTTCAAAATTGAACTTTTAGTGGCTGATCAACAAGTTTTAATAGGTGATAGAACCCTTTTCCTGCCTAGGTTTCCGTCTGGATAGGTACTACCCTCTTAGATGTTTCTGTTGCAAAACAACAATGCAGTTACAGGCTATGTGGAATTCCATCTTAGTCCTCAGAGGCAACAACGCATCTGTAGCGTTCTTTGTTTGAAGTTGACCGCATGTTACCATAAGCCATAAGCGGATAGTAAGTTCGTTTGCCACTTTAGTTTTATATAAAAAATGGATTCGCATTGTTGCAAGAAATCATCAAGAGATTATTTCATTAACATTTGTTAATAATTTATGTGATTCTAATGTGCATAGCCTATATAGTATTATTTATACGGAGACAGTTACTATAGATATTTTGAAATAAATTAGAATAAATTAATCTTACTAAAAAAAATCTTCAGTGTTCTGTTCTAACGTATCACGGAACGCAACAATGACAAATAGTCCGGGAAAAAATTTGAATTTAATCGGACCAGCCCAACCGATCTTGACGGTATAATATACTTTACTCGTCACATAAGTTATTTGTCTTTCACTTACAACTAAGAAATTTTACTATGTCGTTGAACTATTTAGATTTAAAAGCAGGTGTTTTTAAAATTTTACTAAAACAATGAAATATTCATCCAACATCACTCCTGCCGCATACAGGATCAGAAATAAGATAACAAATGCATCATTTATTCATCATTCATAACGGTCTACCAAAAGTCCACTGCTGGATATAGGTCTTCCTCATTGATTGCCTCATAGAGGTAAATTGGAAATGCATGCCAAATAAAATAAAAATACACCATTTTGAAAAGCCCATTGTCCACCAGTGTGGACATAAGAAACTGGTGGTGCGATGCGATAAAATGGCATGTGTCTGATAGACTACATATTTTCAAGTTATTGAAATTCAATCGAAAGCAAGTTACAAAAATTTAAAGTGACTTTACACGGCAAAAACACTAAACAAAGTTATGTTCGAAGAGTTTCATAATAGTGACAGATTTTTTTCTCAGAATGATTTAACGGTTTTGGTGAGTGAATATTTTTTTATGCAAAACATTTAAGATTTAAATAACAATACTCGAGCTAGCGACCAGGGCTTTGTTTTAAAATGAGAGCTATATTATCCTAACAGAATGAACGGCGCTCCAAAACCAACGAAATCCACTTACACCGCCTTTGGCAGAACTAACGTTCTTACATCACGTTTACGTGCTTTTTTTAAAAGGCATTGCACGATCATGATTTTAAGCGTCACCACCGAACACAATTACTCTCTACCGACTGTCACTGAAAACATGAAAGGTTTGTAAGTAGCGCATACGTCGTAGACATTTTTAAATTTTTTTGTAGATTTTTTTTATTGTTATTGCATTTGCATGACGCCCCTGCGTGAAATAAAGTTCTCTATAGTTGGCTGGGTAAATTTAGCATTATGGTAATTTAGTTGGTTGATCAAAACTAAATATTATTTTCAAAATATTGGTCTGATAAACTAAATAATAATAATTTTAATTTTGTAACTGCCTATCCGTATCCCTACGACAATCACAGTAATAAATTAGTTTTCTTCGCCCGATAAATAGTTTAGTACCTGAGTGGCAGAGTTTTATTCGACGTTAGAAATATTCCTTTAAGAGATGGATGACATTTACTTAAATAAACTTGGAAAATCAAACGTTATCTAAATACAAAATTTTATCAATAACCTGGGAGATTCTCATCATTTATAATACTTGACGCCGTTCCGTAAAAACCAGTTAGGTACATACATATTATATAGGAAAAACAATATATTTTTATTTGGAGAATTTATGGAACACACATACGAATGATTGAAACTTATAATATTACCTTTATAAAATTCTCCGCGGAAGTAGGTTAAGGTGCTGATTTTACGTACTTGTACGAAATAGACTATAAAAGATTCATTGCTTTGAAGAATGTTTATAGTTACCCCAGCAAGAAACCCCTTCCTCAATAAACTTATCTAATCTGTACTATAAATTCTATAATACGAGTATAATAAAGTGTTTAAACAAACAAAAATTTTTTTGTTTGTTTAAACACGGTAATCCCTGGAAGTACCAGTCGAATTTTAAATATTTTTTTTGTATATGATGGCCAGATTCTTGGGGAATAGTACAGTATTTAAAGCTAGCTGAGATGTATAGCACTAGGCTACATCTTCAGTAAGTTTTAAACGAAAACTAAAAGGTATTTCAGTGTAGTAGTAGCAGTTAATATAGTCAGCTTCAAACGCGCTCTCGAACTGCTATTTGCGCGTGCGCTGGCGTCATGGTTAGTGATACGTAAATACTAATTTTCTATAAAGGTATTGAACTTTTTTCCATCTAAAAAAAGTGCGCGATATCTTTTCCCTATATCTTATAAGCCGCAATAAGGTATTCTGTAATAAAAAATTTGAAAATTAAAAAGTGATTTATGAGCGTTATTATTATTATTAGGCGTGGCATACACATTACTATACACATACACAGTAGTACACACATATAGCGGACTTAATGCAATGGGGATTTCTCTCCCAGTCAACTATTAGGCTAAACAGAGATAGACGTATAAGAGGTGGTGCAGCAATAATAAAAATAGAAAGGGAAACAATTATATATATATATATATATATATATATATATATATATATAAATATATACCTAAATAAATACTATATATATATAAATATATATATATATATATATATATATATATATATATATATATATATATATAATATACGTTTGAAAAATAATGAAATTAAAAGCTATGTTAGTTCAAATTTGCATCGATTTATTCACATGCTTATGGACTTAATTTAAAAAAAAACGTGTTGGGAGTTTTTATTAATATCAAGAGGGATGTTTTTACAGAGTCTAATGGTTGTGAGGGCAAAAGAGTGAGATAAGTAACCAGTACGGTGCAAAAGAGTGACTTAAGATTAGCCGAAGAATGGAGAGAACAATTATGAGAATCTCCCAGGTTATTAAATTTGGATTTCAGATTCTCAAGAGTATTCCAACATATCTGTGCTGACACATAGGCAGCCAATTTAGCTGAGTACAAAAGGAAGATACACCATGTATCTTCTTTTCGTATTTATGAAGACCAATGAATGTATCTGATGCAGTTGTTAACAGCTGCTTAAGCAGACTATCCAATGTATTAAGATTATGTTGAGACAGGTCTGAGCAACACACATTAACAAAATCAATAATCGGTGGAATAAATAACTGGAAAAATAAAATCTTAGTAATGGTGGGAAGAAAGTTTTTTAATCGATATAGAGATATCCCATAGTTCCAGCAGGTTTGCGACTCAACTCATGTATATGGTTGTTCAATACATTGATAATTACGAACGAAAGTTACTTCATCATCAAGATAATTTTATGAATATAAACTTTGCTATATAATGAAAAAGGAATATTAAAATAATTCAACACTCGGCTCGGCGCGCGAACGACGCATAACCCTAGCCACCTGATAAGAACCGAGAACCAATACATTTTAAGACCACATTAAAATGTTACTAAAATTATGTGTTTAATCAGTGATTACTTAAATTATACGCAAATGAAACCGCGGGGCACAGCTGGTTTAACATATAATATCCGTACTCCCACTTTAAAATTTAAGTAGTTCCAAGTTTATTCTCTTGTTTGAAGAGTAATAACGTACTCCCACGTTATTACTCTTCAAAAGCGGGACAATTTATGCAATAACTATTATATGCTTGATGCCATATATAACTTTTTATGTTTACTATACCTAGACAAATTAAAATTTAATACATTTTTTTTTTTCAATAAAATTCGAATGATTAGCGATAACCTTTAATGACGAATTCTTCCAAATCCACGAATTTTTCTACCATCAAGGCGGTGTCACATAAAAATGAGGTGTAATATTAGACAGATTTCAGAGCAGAAAAGTTAATTTGTTCGAAAAATGTAAACGCTAATGTTTCTTTTTCTTAGTTATCTAATATATTTGTTTGTTCGTATGTTATGCATTGCATTGCGTTCATCAGATTGCGGTAAAACTTTGTCAACTTATTGCTTGCACTTGCGCGAAGATTATAGACATACTGAAAAATTTATTTGAAAGTCATATATCATTCAATTTCAATGAATCGTTCCTAATTAAGCAATTAACTATTCCAAATTTAAAATGATACTTCCACAATTATTACTCCTGTGGCAAAAAAGCGTCAGGTACCAGCTAGTATTTTAAATTAATTAGATTAAAAAATAATGAACCAAACGACAGATAATAGAAAAATAAATATAAAGTAGAAAAGTAGAATAATTAAAAAAAAAAGAGTTAAAATGTGCAAAAAATCAAAGAGCAAACCACTGAGGTATTGTTTTGCGTACTCTAGAAACTGATCAAATTTTATTTAAAATTAACTTCCCAATTAAATGACATTGTGTAACAAAACACTTTACATCAGTGTCAACTAGCGACATCTGGCGTGCTAAAGATTATTAGACCTCATTTTACTGTGACTGTTATGATTAAAATCGGTTCTGATTATGTTTATATTCCAAGTGAGGTTAATAGGGAAATTGCAATAACCATCAGGTCGACTGTT